TCGAACGATTCTAATGAATCTGTTAATATTACTACCTCTAGTGAAGATGATGGCATTTTTATACACAAGCACCTACGCAGAAGTTCCCTCCTCCCCTTGACGAGTCAGCAGGACTAGTGTGGATACACATGTGACATACTTGCAGGCGTTCAGACCGCAGTAACAGAGCGAAGTGCAAAGAAATAATGGGGATTAACATTTCCAACTTAATGTTCAACATTTCTTTAATAACCGTTACCTTCTTGAGGTTGAACTACATAATTACAATCCCGATGTTATTACTTTTGAACGAGACAGCTGCAAGGTTGATCAACATATTAAATTACGTGGTTACTCTACTGTGGAGAAATCGAGAGGACTTTTAGTGGTTAGCAACTTAGTTAAATTAGGCTATACATTTAAAATATTCATGTTGATGAAGATAACATTCTTGCAATAGAAATGACAACGTCTCATGGACAACTAGTGATAAGAACTGGATATTTTCCCCCGAGACAACAATATATAGAGTCAATTCCTCTACATAGGATATTAAGCAGGAATATTCCAACAATTCTAGCGGGAGATTTTAATGCTCATCACCCTGCCCTCTTCAACTGTGGAACTGGTATTCCACTGGGTGACTTAAAAGGAAAACAACTCTTTAATATCATGACAGCTAGAAACTTGTCATTTCAAGGCCCATTCTTTAAATCGTACATTGGACCTCATCCAGGGACACCAGATACAGTACTGACAAACAGAGACTGACATCTTTCACTGTCGTATATTTCCTGGTGGAAATGTAGGATCTGACCATATCCCTGTTATAATACAACTACAAACTTCTCCATTTAGAATACCTGTACCTCCTAAACCCAATCTTAACACCCTAGGATTTGACCCCTTCAGGACATTTCTGGGTGACGATGAAATTGTGTCATTGGAAAATCTACCTTCCACTTCAATTGATGATGCAATCAGGTCCCTGCATAATCGAATAATTGAAGCTACTAATGCAACTTGTCAATTAGCTTCCACAAAGATTTACCAACAATATAAACCTACTAGGGAAATTAGAGACAATTTAAGAAACTATCAAGCAGAATGTCGAAGGCATCTTCAAACGCGACAACCACCAGCAGCTACACTGCACCGATTAAGGCAAGAATTAATTAACATGATTAGTCATCACAAACGGGACTTATGGAAAGTGCTAGTTCTTCAAGCTAATCAGTACAAACGTGAACCAGCAAAATTTTGGAGTAAGATCCGACAACTTTTAGGGGCAAAGCACAAGGCTCCTAACTACCTAGTTCATACCTTCACTGATGGGTGATGTATGGGAGAAAATTCTCTCCCACAATAACAGTCGTCAATTTAACAATAATCATTATCAGTTGGTAAATGAATGGAGAGATGAGAACTTGGATGATCTACAACCACTACCTTCCATCGATACTTCAACTCTTGAAGATACCCACCCGCTTACTAGACCTATTACATTACTAGAGATGAGTCAGGTTATTGGAAGAATGCGTAATAGAGCCCCTGGCCTCTCTGGAATAACAATGAAACAAATAAAGTTCCTCCCCAGAAATTGTAAACAGTCTTTGGTAAATATCTTTAATGCCATCTTGGCCTCAGGACATTTTCCAGTGGTTTTAAAGACTGCTAGGATGATCTTTCTTGGTAAGCCCAATAAAGACATCCACCAACCTGGGAACTATAGACCTATATCTCTACTTGAAGTCACTGGAAAAGTTCTTGAGAAGGTCATTTCCAACAGATTGAACTACTATATGGAGTTTAATCACTTTTTTACTGAAAAACAATTTGGCTTTAGAACACATAGAGGTACCAATCATGCAATAAATGTTATTTTCGATATTGTAGCAAGTCTAAAGCATCAGGGGAATCTTGCCTTAATTGCCACCAGAGATGTTCATAAAGCTTTTGATAGCTTATGGCATGATGGCCTTATATACAAACTCATTGACCTACCAGACCATAACTGGACTTTTCTCAGAGTAATATATAATTTCTTAACTCAAAGAAAAATCATTCCCACCTTTCATGACAGGTCGGCAGAGCCTTTTATACCGACAGCTGGTGTCCCACAAGCTTCTTGTCTCAGTCCACTTCTGTTCAACATTTATGTGAATGACCTTCCTCAACCAGAGTTTAATGACACAATTGTGACACAGTTTGCAGATGATGTTATTCATGTCGTCTCATCAACTCCGGTAACAGGAAATACAAGTATGAGAGAGTCATAGAAAAAATAAATATTGAACTTCGTCGAACATCTAATTGGGAAAAGAAATGGAGAATTACGACTAATCCTGACAAGGTCCTTGTTAGCACGATAGGATGTTTTGCATCAACAATTGAAGATAAAGGAGGTATCTCCATCAGAGGTACACCTGTAGCCATTAGAAACCCTAACAGATCTTGGATATGAAATAGACAGGCTGCCTCACTCAACATCCTCATGTAACTAAAAAGATCAACATAGCCAAAGCCGGTCTTAGCATGTCTCTTTTCGATTCAATCAAGCCCCTCAACATGTCAAAAAACATCTGTATAAAATGATAATAAGACCAATACTCGAATACCCTTGTGTCCCAATGTCATTAACAACAAAGACCAACATGCTACGGTTACAAAGGGTCCAGAATAGAGCTCTTCGCTTCATTACCGATACCAGGAGGAGAGACAGAGTTAAAATGGCAGATTTACACATACAACAAGATATTACTGCCATAAATGTACGCCTCGACACACTAAAAAAGAAACAACTTTATTCAATGCAAGAACTATACATGCCAGATAGAGAACATCCTATACAAGTGGTAAATACCACGGATTATATAATCAATACTCCTCCTCACAGGACTCAAAGAATGACTCTCCCACAGAGGGTCCGTCGTTTTATACATAAAGATGATTACCATCGACCCATGATATTGAGCAACCTCCCTGATGAAGAAGATTGGGTAGCACCAGAACCCTTCTATGTATACTAAGAAAATCATCGCCCCCAATTAGGGAGACATCTTATATAACAATCTAATGTAAAAATTATGCTACTTACCATGGCTGGACACCACCTGTAAGAAGCCATTGTCGCGTAATTCCATAAACTGGCCAGAAAATTATTGCCTTCATTGTCGCATAAATATCCGTTGTGCAATCGAAAAAAAAAATTGCAACTTGTATAATTACTACCAATTCAGAGTCATGTACTTATATTCTGTTATATCTATGTGACTCTGATGGGTTAGTCTTATACCCCTTAAAGAATATCTTATCATTTCACGTACATTTTTTAAATTACACCAAAGTGGTTGGGCCACTTACCTTTTATATCCTACCTCTCTCCCCCCTCCCACCCTTTTCCAAAATTTCTATCCTTACCCATCCTTCTTCCTTACCCATCTCACCAAAGCTCTGGTCTGGATACCGAATACCGAATACCGAGACGTATTGGTAAGCCTCCTTATGTGAATAAATGGCTTAGAAAACAGACTGATAATTGGGATACTTGTACAACTGACTGAAGAAGACACTGGATGGCGAAACGTTTCCAGAAAAAAGATACCCAAATGTTGCACAAGTGTCTTATTTATCAAGCTTCCTTATGCCAGTTGCCCCTGTTTCCCTAGGAGAAAACAAGTATCTGGGTATTATTTGACTGCTGCGAGTGGTATCCTAGGGAAGACGACCTAAGGACCTTAACATAAATGATCCATTGGTATGGCGTGCCAGGGAGGTGACGTCAGTGAGGCCGGTCCTGGGCTCTGGGTACTGGTACCTGAGAGAGGTCATACTACACTCCCACGTACCACACTCCCACACCACACGCCCACACCACACGCCCACACCACACGCCCACATACCACACACTAAAAACACACGTATTGTTAGATGGATTGTGGTACCTAGCTGTAATGGTGTAATACCAACAAGGAAGGTATTCGTATAACAATCCAATACAGTTACGGACAGAAGCAAACATTAGAGTTTCTTGTGAGTATCAAGATATTGCCACCAACAATATTTACACCATATAGATGATTTTGACAGATACTGTGTTATGAATACTTGAGAGAGAGAGAGAGAGAGAGAGAGAGAGAGAGAGAGAGCGAAAGAGAGAGATTCTCCAGTTGGTAAGAGTGGTTAATGGGTCCACGATATCAAAGAAGATTTTGCCAAACTTCCTATAGAACCCTACCATTCCAAGGAACTGATGAAGGGATTTTTTGTCGTGGGGATAATCCTTTTTTCTGGATGGCTACAATGTTGGCTGTTTTAGGTGCTACTTTTCCTTGTCCTAGTATGGGATGAAGAAAAATAACTGAGGACCTACGAAAGATTAACTTACTGAGATTAATCTTTGTCTGATGTTTCGAAATCTTTCAAATAATTCCCCAAGTTGGGAAATATGTTAGTCCCAAGTGTCTGATACGACTACTAAAATATAGTGTCCCGTGGCTGGGTTAGCAGCGCATTCGGCTCACATACTGAGTGTCCTTAGTACCATCTCCGGCAAGAGTGGAAACTTTGGGCATGTTTCCTTACACCTGCTTCCCATGTTCACCTAGCAGTAAGTAGGTACCTGGGTGTTAGTCGACTGTTGTGGGTTGCATCCTGGGAGGTGGTAAACCTTAGACAGGGCTGGGCTTTGAAAAAACCTGAGGTATGATAACAGTTCTTAGCATGTAAAATTGATCTGTGTAGAAGGAAAAAATCATCTCGATAAGCCGGTGTGCCTAACTCCTTGATGGTAATATTGATGAACTTCTGAAATGTAGCAGGTGCATTGCACATGCCAGGAGTGGCAGTATGTTGATAATGACCTGGGACTACAATAACAAAGATTCTTTTTTTTTTTTTTTTTTTTGTCCCCATGACTTAAGGGCACTTGATAATATGCTTTAGACAAGTCGAACTTAGAGACGAACTTGGCTTTACTAGTGAAGTCCACAATGTTATTTATGTGTGGAAAATGGTAGGCATCAGGTGTCATAACTTTATTCACTTATCAGTCCGTACACATAAGAACTTTATCATCTGGTTTCCTTCACAAGAACGCAGGACGAAGCCCACAGACTTGAATATTCTTCCAGCAACTTATGCTCAAGTGAGAACCTGATTTCCTGTTGAAATAATTGCATCTTTTCGGAATTTGCTATGTATGGAGACAGTTTTATAAGTTTAGCTGTGGCCACATTCACATTATGAAACCCACATACTTTAGGGACATCCAAAAGAGATGTGATATCAGAAAAAGACGTGATATCATCCATTAGTTCCTCAGTTGCCAGATATTCAGTAGTCATGGATCTTCCAGTAGTTTCAAGTCGGCCAATTTTCGATTCCACTGACCTCTTGTAATTCGTTAGGTGCATAACTAGGATCTGTCGGAACAGAAAATATTGTTATTAGAGAGAAGAGAGATTCAGAATTTATTATTTGTCTAATTTATGTGGTAGATTTTTATCCCCTGAAAATTTAATGACTACCGCCTAAATAGAACCAACAATGCACAACTTCAGGGGATGACCAGGCACTAGGTCTTGGACCATAACTTCGCCTCTAAGCCAGCCCTCAGTGAGCACTTATATTATGTACAAATATCATCTTGAAAGATCTGTAACTGGCGAATTTTTGAGCAGTTTCTCTTACAACGACGAGCAGCAGAGGTAAGGACTCGTCCCAGTCTGTAAAAAAAATAATGCAGGCAAAAAATTTAGATCATAGATGGAACTGTTGAAGTGCACCCTGTGACTGAGGGTGATAAGCCATTGAAAGAGTGTAACACCCAGGCGACTCAAAACCTCATAAAATGCTTTGGCTGCAAAATTATAACCTTGGTCACTGAATGGTCTGTGGGGTTCCTACTTGAGAAATAAATCTTAGTATTAACACTAGTGCCTCGGGATATCTAGTAGTTTTATCCACAATGATGAAAATATATTGTCTGATTTGGTCTTCGGTAGAGACCTCACATAAATGATGATCAGGTCTCCTGAAGCTTCCCCATCAGCCAGTAGAGAGCAAAGAGGTACAAGTTTACTTCACTCTCCTGGCTTTCCTACCAACTGGCAGTTAAGGCAGGATTTAGTGCATGCATTATTTGCTGATTCTATAAAGGGCTTTATTTACTCTTAAATATCCCTCCATAAACTGTATGTAGGTAACCCAAGGTACCCGGCATCTAAACTTTTTTTTGAGAACTGTCATCTTATCTCCATAATCTAAAATTGACCTGCCACAGCAAAACTTAAGCTTAGTTCACGAATTATTCAAAGAATTTCTCAGGTTCTGCTTCAGGAAAACGTGGTGCTGATGACACAGACTTCTGTACACTAAATCTCTATTCACGGGTATAATGACAATGTCTCCTTTCCTTCTCCCTATCGTACTCCTCCTTGGCGAATGCAGGTTGTTCCTAAGTCTGTTTGAGAGTAAGCTTCACCAGTTCGAGAGGCAACGATGTAGATGGGTCTTGAGGTAAACCTGGTATACAAATTTTTTCCTTCACGACTGGCGGATTATCACATAAACCTTCAGAAGTATGATCACTACCATTATGAAAAAGGCAATGGAGTGGGGAGCGGAGACTAACTCGAGCTTCCATGATTAATGGATCAAACTTTAGCTTGTTGCGAATTAATCTGTGAGGTTGCACTGCAGTTAAATTGTGATTATATTCAATGCCAACAAAATGGGCGATATGCCAGCAATACTGTAGAGATAATCTTGACAAAATCTGCAGTTTCCAAGGTGTGTGCCATCACCAAATGCCTGACACACACTGGAGGCTTTATCTAATTGGCAGTAAAACAGTTTAACCAGCTCCGGCTGTTAAAATGTAATACCAGCAACAGAGCAATCTGTAAAGCAGTCCAGTAAGGTCAGGGACAAATGCATATGCCACAGGTTTTTTTTAGGAACCATGTATTTTCACCAATAATATTTACAATATATGTACTGCATATGACTTTGGAAGATACCATATTAAAATAGTTTAGAGAGAGTTTCTGAGAGTAAGCAGGAAGAGTACTCTTGCCATTACAGCTCATACTGAGGACAAAACTCTTGTATGCGTTAATCTGCTGAAAGCAAGTGTGCAACTGACTCTAAGACGAATTTTTAGTTACAAAGTTAGCATGGAGCCCATCCCCCTCACTGGTTGACATTTACAAGCGGTAGTTATGGTAGTTATTCTCCGAGCAGGTGGGGACGATCTTTACCCAGCTTGGTAAGAAGCTATACGTCTTTCAGCTAAATAGTGATGGAATGCAGGGTGTGTGGTTGCGTGTGATGTATGTAGAATTAAAAATGATGTACCTGGTGCATACAACAGTGCACTCCCACACACTACATTCCCACACACTACACTCCCAAACACTACACTCCCAAACACTACACTCCCACACACTACATTCCCACACACTACACTCCCAAACACTACACTCCCAAACACTACACTCCCACACACTACATTCCCACACACTACACTCCCAAACACTACACTCCCACACACTGCATTCCCACACACTACACTCCCAAACACTACACTCCCAAACACTACACTCCCAAACACTACACTCCCACACACTACATTCCCACACACTACATTCCCACACACTACATTCCCACACACTAAAACTCCCAAACACTACACTCCCACACACTACATTCCCACACACTACACTCCCAAACACACTACACTCCCACACACTACATTCCCACACACTACATTCCCACACACTACACTTCCAAACACTACACTCCCACACACTACATTCCCACACACTACACTCCCAAACACTACACTCCCACACACTACATTCCCACATACTACACTCCCAAACACTACACTCCCAACACTAACATTCCCACACACTACACTCCCAAACATTACACTCCCACACACTACATTCCCACACATTACATTCCCACACACTACATTCCCACACACTACACTCCCACACACTACACTCCCAACACTACACTCCCACACACTACATTCCCACACACTACACTCCCACACACTACATTCCCACACACTACACTCCTAAACACTACACTCCCACATACTACCATTCTCACACACTACACTCCCACACACTACACTCCCACCACACTACACTCCTAAACACTACACTCCCACATACTACATTCTCACACACTACACTCCCACACACTACACTCCCAAACACTACACTCCCAAACACTACACTCCCACACACTACACTCCCAAACACTACACTCCCACACACTACATTCCCACACACTACACTCCCACACACTACATTCCCACACACTACATTTCCTACACCACACACTCCCAAACACTACACTCCCAAAACACTACACTCCCAAGCACTACAGTCCCATACACTACACTCCCATACACTACACTCCCATACACTACACTCCCACACACTACACTCCCAAACACTACACTCCCACACACTACATTCCCACACACTACACTCCACACACTACACTCCCACACACTACACTCCCACACACTACACTTGCAAACACTACACTCCCACACACTACACTCCAACCCTCTACACTCCTACACACTACACTCCCACACACTACACTCCCACACACTACACTCCCACACACTACACTCCCACACACTACACTCCCACACTCTACACTCCCACGCTATACACTCCCACACACTACACTCTCAACACTACACTCTCAACATTACATTACCACACTCTACACTCCCACACAGTACTCTCCCACACACTATGTTCCCACACACTGCACTTCAAAATACTACACTCCCACACACTCCACTCCCACTTACTCCAACATAACACACAACACACCTCTTCATAAAACACTTGTACCGCAATCCCACTTACCACACTCCCACATACCACGTTCCACACTCCCAATATTTGAAATTTATCACTAATTGGGCATGTGGATTATTATTCGGCTCCCACCTGCTGGCCTTGGTGTGTGACCTCATCGTGAGGTGTGAGGGGTGACCAGTCCTCCTCAGTGGAGGGGGGAGGAGGTGGAGGAGAGGTTCTCTGATGCTGGTGAAGGACTCTTAATTCAATGAATTACAGCCACACTCCCCTCGTGTTTTCTTTAATTAATGTTCGATACTGTACACAAGCGTCCTTTTCCACAGTTTGTTGGTATCACCACAACATTATCAGCCAGAGTGTTGGTCCCTCCACTACTGTCCTTCTTGGCTTAAACCTAATTAACTCATATTTTCCATGTGCTGTACGACCCCTACCTGTGTCAGAGACATTAACAAAGACTGGTCTTATTTAGATGTTTTTGTCTTGGGACTTTGAACTCTTCTAACATACACAGGGTTCAGGACAACAGTATATCTATATAGGCAAACAAAACAAAAAGATGCATGATTCATGTTAGGCCTTAACGTAAGTTATATAGGAGTGAGGCTGGAGACGAGGTCAGGTAGCCTGTGAGGTCACCTGACCGCCGTGTTGTGAGGCGGGCGGGTCTTATCTTGGTCAGGTATCACGTGTGTCAGTGTTTTCAACATGTAGCTTACAGCTTTTTGACCCACTGTGTTGGTGCTGTTACTGTAGCTCTTGAAGAAGGAAAGACGAGGAGGTTTCGTTGAGAGTAATCAAGGAGGCTTCCAGGAATTTTCGACATCTAAAGTCAAGTTATAACATAAGAATTTAAAAGGTAGGAGAAGCTCTGTAACTGGCCCATGTTAGGCAGGACATTCCCTTCTGGATTACATGTCAAACCTTTTGTTAAAGCTACCAGAGTTCTCGCCTCAGTTACGCTACTCAATAGTTTGTTCCGCTCATCCACTATTCTGTTACAAAATCAGTACTTTCCTATATCCTTTCTTAATAAACAAATAACCTCCACATAGGAGAGAGGAGCTTACGACGACGTTTCGGTCCGAGCTGGACCATTTACAAAGTCACACTAACAGAAAAGAGTGAGGGAAAGGCGGGCGGGAAAAGGGACGGGAACAAAAATTTTCCAGCTTGAACCATTACTACGAGTCCTCTACATGATCACATATTTTCATCACGCCATTTGCATCTCCTTTATTTATTCATCTTTTTCATTTATATATTTCAATCACTTCAGTCACACATTTGTTATGACGAGTTGTGACTCTTTCTACCTCAATCAGTGACCCATAAAGTTGCTGTGAGGGACACAGGCGTTACTCATGTCGTTGTGGCTAGATAAGTTAATCAAGGTTTGCCAGATGTGGTGAATGGTTTTGAAAACCGACAAGTTGAAGAATTGAGACACTTATGCAACACATGGGAATCTTTATTGAAGAAACGTTTCGCCACACAGTGGCTTCATCAGTTCAATACAAAGTAGAAATGGGTAAGGAGAGGAGGAGTTCGAGGTAATCAGTCCCTCAACCTGGAATTGATGTGTTCAGTCCATCACTCTTGTAGAGTGATGGACTGAACACATTTTATACCATTTGAATGTTCAAACTTCTGTCAGTCTCTCTTACGTATTTCTTGACACAATGTCCACAAGAGATGATATATGATACATAAGAGACATGTGCAGTACTTGGATATTTTCATGAAGATAATTCTCCAATTAGTGGATTTTTTTTTTGGGGGGGGGGAAGACTGAGACACTTGTCCAATATTTGGGAATCTTTACTGAGGAAACGTTTCGCCACACAATGGCTTCATTAGTCCAATACAAAGAAAAACATTAGAAAAAGAGGAGTTTGAGGTAACCAATCCCTCGGCCTGGAGTCTGTGTTCAGTCCATGAAGACTGATGTACCCTAGTACTCTGGTACCCTAGTATTCTGTACCTTCGTATCCTAATATTCTGTTCCCTGGTACCCTAGTACTCTGGTACCCTAGTACGCTGGTGCCCTATTACCCTGGTATCCTACTACCCTAGAACTCTGGTACCCTAGTACTCTGTACCCTGGAACCCTGCTACCCTAGTACTCTGGTACTCTAGTACCCTGGTACCCTAGTACTCTGGTACACTATTACCCTGGAATCCTAGTACTCTGGTACACTAGTTCCCTGGTGCCGTAGTGCTCTAGTACCCTAGTACTCTGTACACTAGTACCCTAGTACTCTGTACCCTAGTACCCTAGTACTCTGGTACTTTAGTATTCTGTTCCCAAGTAAACTAGTACCCTGTACCCTGGTACCCTAGTACCCCAGTACTGTGGTAAAATAGTATTATGCACCTTGGAACCCTAGTACTCTGTACCCTGGTACCCTAGTACCGTAGTATTCTGTACCCTGGTACTATGTACTTTGGTACCCTAGTACTTTGGTAACCTAGCTCTGGTACCCTAGTGCTCTGGTGCACTAGTAATCTGGTACCCTAGTGCTCTGTACCTTGATACCTTAGTACGCTGTTCCCTGGTACCCTAGTACTTTATACCCTGGTATCCTAGTCTCTGCTACTCTGGTATTCTGTACTCTGGTACCTTAGTACTCTGTACCCAGGTACCCGAGTACTCTGCTATCCTAGTACTTTGTACCCTGGGACATAAGTACTCTGGTACCCTAGTACTCTGGTACCCTAGTGCTCTGTACCCTGGTACCCAAGTACTCTTGTACCCTAGTACTCTGTACCCTGGTACCCAAGTACTCTGGTACCCTGGTACTCTGGTACCCTAGTACTCTTGTATGCTAGTATGTACTTTGGTACCCTAATACGCTCTACCCTTTCTCTGAAAGGGTCTTGAGGGAGGATGTAGCCCGGGTGGCTATGTTGATGTTGCTGTGTTGATGTTGCTACGATGATGTTGCTATGTTGATGTTGCTACGATGATGTTGCTATGTTGATGTTGCTGTGTTGATGTTGCTACGATGATGTTGCTACGATGATGTTGCTATGTTGATGTTGCTGTGTTGATGTTGCTACGATGATGTTGCTACGATGATGTTGCTACGATGATGTTGCTACGATGATGTTGCTATGTTGATGTTGCTATGTTGATGTTGCTATGTTGATGTTGCTACGATGATGTTGCTATGTTGATGTTGCTATGTTGATGTTGCTACGATGATGTTGCTACGATGATGTTGCTATGTTGATGTTGCTATGTTGATGTTGCTACGATGATGTTGCTA